CCCCAAAACCCCAAAACCCCAAAACCCCAAAACCCCAAAACCCCGTTAATGATTTATAATAAAATAATTATCAACATTTGCAATTAGCTACTTAAAGGTAAGATAAACTCTATTTCTTATTCTTCATTCAAAAGTTAAAGCTCTGAAGACTATCTTTGGACCCAATAAATTTTGACTGTGACTGCAAGTTTTGGATTCCAGAAAATTTCATGTTCTGCAAGTAGCTTTTATTACTGCTGAAAGACTTGTACGGGAACAGCACTGGTTGGGTGACATAGCCTATGTGTGAACTGGGGCCTACAGATAGGATGGAAGGGGGATGCAGGTTTGGAGGAGAGATGGGGTGCAGGGGAGGAGAGGCCAGGGGGGTTGGAAGCAACAGAGGGGGTTGTTTGGGTGGGTGGATGGTATTTATGCTTTGCTTGAGTCAAGTGCTTAAGCCTAGAGCTGAGGAAGAAGATTACTTGGAAGCGAGGGAATTGGGAATAGAGATGTTTATTTGAGGGGGTTGGTTTAGAGTTTGAGATTTGTTCTTTTTGTGATTTCTGCCTTTATTTGTACCTCTGCTTGGCTGAGTTAAAGTTTTGGGGTTTTGTATGTGGAGGGTTGAAGTTTTTATCTGATGAGTTCTTTTTACGAGTGTAATGGATGTTGTTAGGAGCCCTACACTTTAGTTTTAAAGAATACATTTGTTTATGGATTTTTCTTTTTAATCTAATGATCTTTTTCTTGAAATTATTTTTATTTCTCTCAAATATTTCATTATCTTTTAAATCATTTTGAAATGATTTCATTCTTGTTCTTCTCATCTGGGTTACATCACCAGTGTGAGTTTCTGTTCTTGGTGGCTAGAATATTATCATAACATTTGAAGAGAATTATGAGCTAAACATAAAATAAAAATTGTCAAATTTAAAGCTTTTTAACTTATTCTGATCTAAATAAACATTTATATACTGAACTTTTCTCAATCAACGAAATATAAAAGATCAATAACTTTTCAAGAAAAATATGGGTCAACTTATGTTTTTTACAATCTCCTTTGTATACATTTTACCCACTAATTTTGAATAAACATAAATAGACTGACCAATAAATTTCTAATAATTTTGTCCTTTCACTAACAATACAAAGTAGACTATGAACAATATATCAATAACAAAAGACCTCAAAGACAAAAATATAAGAGCCAAACTTAAAATCCAAAAAGAAATACTCCTCGTAATCCTTCCAATCCCTCACCTCCTAGAAAGAACAAGCTAAGAGGAAAAAACAGGAAAAGATCAACAAAATCCTTAAAGACCTTGACAAAATAAAGCTTAAAGACATCCCAAAAGTACCCTAATCCCCTTCCTTCCTCCCTTAATTCTCCTCAATCCCTTCCCTATTGTCACCCTCACTTCCTCTAGTCACAATCCCCCTTCTGTACAGAAGGGGCTCAAGGCCAGCGCCAGAAGCAGCACAGGAGTCACAGAAGAGAACGGTCTCAGACTAAGAACTATAACAAGCTTCGAGTCGATAAGCTGAAAATAGGTACCTGTCAAAACAACTTTGTAGTAAAGATAGATTTTGAAATGAAGAAAGCAAGATCAGTTACCATTGAGCCCAAGAAGAGAGAGAAAGACAGAAATTTAAGGAGCATAAGAAGAATGATTAATAAAATGGATCTTGTCGGCAAGGACGTGGTTAAGCAGTTCATAAGCATGCTAGAAAAATAAGAAAGCAAAAGGATTTGTGAAGAAGAACCCCGAGCTTGAGCTGGCCATCTCAAATCTACCTCCCAAGTTGATGAAGATGGCAATGGGAGAGGAGGGATTTATAGGAGAGAGCCCATATAAGGGATGAAAATATTGTAAAAATAAACCTAAATAAAGAATCTCAGTACTGAGTTTATTGCCAACATAATAAATCTCTCAATTTCAGGACTTTAGATAATGCAAGGCTTCTTGAAAGTCCAAAAGAGGCATATGGAAAATGTTCTATCCCAGAAATTTATCGGAATAGAGTTGATGCTAATTTTCAAATGAATCTGAATACAATTAGAAGACACAAAAGGAACAAGTCAACAAAAATAGGATTAAATGATGATCTCAAAGCTGATCTTGATTCTACAGGAGCTGCAAGGAGGAGATTAATCAAAGTATTTCAGGATAATCTCATAAAATAGAGGATAAGCAAAGAGCATAAGTCAAGCATCACAAATAAACTAGCTAAAAATCCAAATAACGCTCAAGAGTACCTCTCCATCTTAATTATAGACTTAAACGAATGGTTGCTAACTTAGAACCACTAGACTATGAAGCTAGCTACAACGATTCTCGTAAGTTTCCTTTACCCCAAATAGTTCTGAGATCAGAAGCTTTAAAAATGAAGCAAAGAAGCAGCCTATCAGTTATGACAGGAGGAAAGAGGAAGGAGCCTGTTTTAGTCCTTCCAAAAATTACAAGATCTTAATTGACTATAAACCCTTTTTCAACTATAATTTTCTTACCATATGTCAACTCATGAATGCTTTATTTAAGGATGTAGTCACTTTTATTCTTGGTATCAAATTGGGATCCGGTTTGTGAGAGAGCAGATTTTATATTCTCTTATGAAAAAGAACGCTAGTAGTTTTACCCTTTTTAGTTTTCACAAAATTCAAAGGGTTTCTCATAGTGGAGTAAGAAGTTAGACATCTTTCTTTTGAAGTTTGCATTGAAGTAGAATTCTTAGATTCTTCGATTGAAGATATAGGATGATTCAAACCCTTCTCATCATTCTTCTCATTTGAATGTAATATTTTAGGAGAGTTTTCATTTAAAATTCTTACATGCTTATGTTTAGCTACTATCTTCTTTGGTCCTTCAGCTTCAGGAGGGATTAATATTTTCCTTTTGAAGATATTCTTCTTCTCATTCAATAGAGAATTGCTATCATTTATGTGAAGTCCAAGGTTGATATTGATAGTCTTATTTTAATCCATCCATTTTCTCCTTAAGTTCTTGCCCATAAAGTGCGTATTTGTCATTGGTTAAATACCCTTTATCTAGATGTTAGAAGTTTTTATCAAAGAAGTAAAGATAGCTTATGAAATTTAATTAAGATTACTCTGGTTCAAATACAAGCTAGTTTCTTCCATATTTCAAATAAATGTTCAAGCTTTAGGTTTAATTAGGGGTTTTGGGGTTTTGGGGTTTTGGGG